GAATGTAGGGGGAATCTGGGAAACGTACAGCCCTCAAAGGGTGAGCACGTGGTGCGGAAGACAGAAAGCACCTGGGCACACACATACAAAAGGACACAGCCAGTGTCGAAACCTCTCTGTAGCCACGGAGGCCAGAAGATTGACTCATTCCCAAGTCAGAGACCTTGTTGTGTCTCTAATGTACAGGTGACTAAATTGCTGTTTGTTAAAACTGCACAGAATTTATTCATACTGCAATTTTTATTTAAATTTTCATTGTTTCCTAAAGCCCCAGTGTGTTCATCTGCTAGGGATGCTGTAACAGAATACCATAGGCTGGGCAGCTTAAACGATGGAATTCATTATCATACGGTTCTGGAGGCTGCAAGTCCAAGACCAAGGGGCAGCAGGGCTGATTTGTCCTGAGACCTCTTTCCTTAACTTGGGGATAGCCACCTTCTTGCTGTGTCCTCAAGGTGGCCTTTTCTCCCTTCCTTGTATGAGGACACCAGTCTTATTGGACAAGGGCCCCCTCTTAATGGCTTATCTTAACATGATTGCCTCTTTAAAGGCCCTGTCTCTAAATGCAGTCACATTTTAAGGTACTGGGGATTAGGACTTCAACATATGAATTTGGAAGTTGGGTGACAGGGAGTGTCACAATTCAGCTCTTAACATCCAAGTCAAAGAAACCTCTTAAAGTGATACAGCCCACATATATCCTGACCAGGGTGTACCCAACTGAGCATTGGTCACCGAGCTATCTCGTCCATCTGCCCTTGAGTGAGCCTTCTATGCTGGCAACTCTGCAGCTAAATGTTGTATAATTGGGGCTTGAGAAAGAACTAGTCTAAACATTATTGCTGACCCACTAAAGCTTTCAGATACATTAAAAATACTGTAAAATGTCCACATTGATAAGGATTAAAAGAACCATGAAAAATGTCGTTTCATACTGTATTTAGATGAAGGCTTAATTCTTTCATTTAGCAATGTAAATATTAGTTATATATTTTAAACTTAACAAGAAAACATTATGGCGGGGCACTGTGTCATGCACCTGTAGTCTCAGCTACTTGGGAGGCTGAGGAAGGAAAACCGCTGAGCCCAGGTGCTCCAGGCTGTAGTGTGCTTTGATGGTGCCTATGAATTGTGCTCCATTCTTGGCAACACAGTGACACTCAGTCTCTTAGAAAAAATTAGGGCAGAGGGAGAAGGTGGGTGTCTGAAGAACAGATAGTCTCTCTCTAATAGGTGTGACAAAATATAGAGGTGTGGGAGACAGAGCTGGGAAATCCAGACAATCTCAAGCTGTAGGTTCAAAGTGAAGGAAGTACATGTTTTAAAGCTCAATTCATGAGAGTCCCACTGACTTTTAGCCCGTCTCTAATTCCCTCTTTCCAGTGTCAGCTACTATATTGTACTGCCTGTTAAGTCACACGAAGGACAGTGCTTCCAGGAGACAATAGGGTTTTTTTCTAAGCCCACTCCACTTCCTTCCTGAAAGGAGATAGGAAGATAAAGCCAGCTTCACAGACTGTAAATTTCAACCTTCGTACCTGAAGTCAGTCCTCCTCTTACCTATCCACAGGAATAATGCAAGATCTTTGCCAAAGCCAAGAGGAGGGTGTTTTATCATGATGCTGTTTACTCCTTTCCTTAACAGATGTCAGTGACGGCCAGAGATTAAGTCTCACAAGTTCCCCATGGGACTAGAGTTTAGATCTTGGAGGAGGAACCCAGGACGTTTCACTCTTACTAACAAAGCCTGTTCTTGCTCTTTTTAGTGCCTCTGGCTAAAGCATTCCCTTTTTTCTTCATTTGGGGTGGACAAAAAGAGATAGGATCCTGAACAGAAGTGGCAAAAAAAAAAAAAAAAAGAAAAAGAAAAACAACACAGAAAAGAGGAGGCTGTATTACTTTGTTCTCACACTGCTGTAAAGAAATACCAGAGAGAGGCCGGGCCTGGTGGCTTGCGCCTGTAATCCCAGCACTTTGGGAGGCGGAGGCAGGTGGATCATGAGGTCAAGAGATCAAGATCATCCTCGCCAACATGGTGAAACCCCGTCTCTACTAAAAATACAAAAATTAGCTGGGTGTGGTGGCTCCTGCCTGTAATCCCAGCTACTTGGGAGGCTAAGGCAGGAGAATCGCTTGCATCTGGGAGGCAAAGGTTGCAGTGAGCAGAGATCATGCCACTGCACTCCATCCAGGTGACAGGGCGAGACTCCATCTCAAAAAAGAAAGAAAGAAATACTGAAGACTGGGTAATTTATGAAGTAAAGAGGTTTAATTGGCTCATGTTCCACAGGTGGTTCAGGAAGCATGGCTAGGGAAGCCTCAGGAAACTGTCAATCATGGTGGAAGGCGAATAGGAAGCAGGCAGGTCTTACATGGTCAGAGCAGGAGGAAGAGAGAGAAGGGGAGGTGCACTTTTAAACAACCAGATCTCTCAATAACTCACCATCACTAACTAGAACAGCACCAAAAGGGAAATTTGCCCTCCTGATTTAATCACTTCCCAACAGGCCCTACCTCCAACACTGAGGATTACAGTTTGACACAAGATTTGGGTGGGGACACAGAGCCAAACCATATCAGATGCAGTCACTTGTTCCATTGCAACAAGATGGAAAAGGAGTAGATAGATATAGGCATAGGTAAGTGTAATGGTTTGTTGCAAGAAGTTGAGGGATTTCTTTTGTTCTGGCTTTTGATTTTGCAAAAGCAAGATCATCTATTGAGAGGAAGGGGAGATGTAGTAGATACCGAGGTTTGAGGATAGTGGAAAGGTGTTTGTTTTTTTATTATTAATTTCAATAGGTTTTTGGGGAACAGGTGGTGTTTCCTTACATGAATAAGTTCTTTCTTTAGTGGTGACTTCTCAGATTTTGGTGTACTCATCACCTGAGCAGTGTACACTGTACCCAGTGTATATAGTCTTTTATCCTTCATTCCCCCTCCCACCCTTTGCCCCTTGAGTCCCAAAGTCTCATTCTCATGCCTTTGTATCCTCATAGCTCAGCTCCCACTTATGAATGAGAACATACAATGTTTGGTTTTCTATTCCTGACTTACTTCACTTAGAATAATAGTCTTCAGTTCCATCCAGGTTGCTGTGAATGCCATTATTTTGTTCCTTTTTATGGCTGAATAGTATTCCATGGTATATATACACCATCAATTCTTTATCCACTAGTTGATTGATGGGCATTTGTGTTGGTTCCATATTTTTGCAATTGTGAATTGTGCTACTATAAACATGCATGTACAAGTATCTTTTTCATATAATGACTTCTTTTCCTCTGGGTAGATACCCAGTAGTGGGATTGCTGGATCAAATGGTAGTTCTGCTTTTAGTTCTTTAAGGAATCTCCACACTGTTTTCCATAGTGGTTTTACTAGTTTACATTCCTGAGAGTAGAAAAGTTTTAAAACACCCATTGCAGAGAAATGGGAAGATAGCTGGCTGGGGAAAGATCATACTCACTGTGGTTCACAGAAATCCCAGTGAGAAGAGTAACTTCGAGTTTATAAGGACAACTCTCTCCCCAGGTGGGGGATTTTCTCCAGTAGTGCTTAATGGTACAGGGGTAGCCATGGAGAAGATAGTCTTTTAAATAAACTTTTTAAAGTTTGGAATACTTTTAGATTTATAGATAAGTTATAAAGATAGTGCAGAGTTCTCAAAACCCCTCACCTAGGTCCCCTGGTTAACTTCTGACATAATCATGGTACATATGTCAAAACTGTCTCTGTCTTTCCTTGTTTTTTATGACCTTGACAGTTCTGGGGAGTACTGGGCAGGTTCCTTGTAGAATGTCCCTCAGTCTGGGATTATTTGATGTTTCTCCTCACAATTAAACTGGGATTATGGGGTATTGGAGAAAATCTCATAGAGTTAAAATTCCCTTCTAGATTCATGTGCTCTTCCCCATCTCTCTCCCCAATAGTGAGACACACACACACAAACTCACACTCACACACTAACACTAAGCTCTTGCTTAACTATTTGAGAGTTGTGGACATCATGATGCTTTCCTGCTAAATGTCTCAGCGTATCTCCTAAGACCAAAGATGTTTTCCTACAAAACCGCAGGACAGTTTTTTCCTACTCAGCAAATTGAGCACCCTTGTCTAATACATAGTTGATACTTAAATTTCCTGCCGTATACGAACAATGTCTTTTATAGCTCTTATTTTTTTTCTGGGATCTAGAATTTAATAAAGGGTCACACATTGTATTTAGTTGTGGAGAGTACTTGTTTTGAATACTTTCCCTCAATTTTCACTTACGTGATTGTTTCTCCACGAGACACAGATGGAGCATTTTCAGCAGGACAACTTTCCTGGTGATGTTGTGTCCTTTCCAGGGCATCACATCGGGAAGACAGGATGTCACTTGTCCCACTGCTGGTGATGCTAACTTAGCCTACTTGGTGAAGGTGGTGGCATTTTCTTCAGTGTAACTAATAAACTTTGGGGTTGCATTTTGGGAAGATATGACTATTCTGTTCCCCAGAAATATTTCACCCAGGAGTTTTAGAATCCTCTGATGATTTTTACAAAATGGTGATTTTAAAAATTCTACACTTCATTCTTCATTTATCACCTGACATTCTGCATGATAACTCTGAAGGCCATTGGGAAATAATGATTATCACATAAATACATTTTGTTTTGGCCCCAAAGTGTCGAATACCCAAAAAAATCATGTGTTAACTGAGGTATATTCTATAAGAATTTCAGAGATATATTTCCATAGTTAAAAGAAACCCCTGTAGTCTTATAAAGCATATATTTAATAAAAGATAACTCCTAGGGGAGCCCTTGTATGAGAATAATAATAGTAATAAAAGGAAATAAAAAAAGTGTTAATATATTAAATAGTTTAAAAACCTTTTAGCAAAATGTAAGCAATCAGCTAAATGCACCACTGGAAATGCAATATTGTTCAGTATTATAAACTGGCGAAAAGATAAGTCTTTTCTTGCCGAAGGATAATTTAGGGCATTTTTTTTATAACCCAAAATGAATTTCAACTATAACTTCTGATGTGTTTGATAAATAGGTGCTGACATCACAGGCATTTAACATTTCATCTTCAGTGCCGTGGTCAGATTACTAACCCTTTGGGCCTCTGTTTCTCATCTGTAAATTGAGGAGTTGGACACATTATAAAATCCTTTCAAATTCTTAATGTTGGATGATTAAAAACATTTATTATAGGAGCTGGGCTTCCTACCCCCTTTGGCTAAAGGGAGTCTTGCTCTAGTTACTTGGTTTACACTCACCTGAATAAATGTAGTAATATACATGCCAAGGAGAGTAGGAAAGAGGAAAACAAAATATGGACACAAACCATAAAGCATAGTAATAGATTTTGGTAGGTCTGTTTCCCTTTCAGGACTATGCTATGGGAGCTTCATCTTTTGTTCCACGCAAAAAGATTTTTAAAATAGAGACCTACCTTGGTAAGGAAAATCAGAGATATCCTTATAAACCAGCAAGGGAGAAGAGTTTAATAACCAACTAGCTTACAGTTCTTTCTGTCCAATGCCTCAACTACTTCTGGCTGGATCCTGACAGCAGCTGCTCCTGTCAAAGTCATCAGAGAAGAGAGGATCAGTTTCTACCCTTAGGTACCTGAAGGGAATGTATTCCGCATTCTTTCATATTTCAGCTGCCTCTTTAGCTTCTATGCCTCAGGAGAACTAGAAAACTGGCTCTCTACTTCTTATTAATTTCTTATTAATTAAATAGACAATGAAGGCATTCTGTGCCTGAGGCTTCTGGTCCCCCTGAAGAATGAACTCGTGGGAGAGGAAGGGACTGGATTATTCTGCTGGGTGACAGTGCACTTAGGGAAAAAGGCCAAGGGAGAAAAGTCCATCGGGCATTTTTGTTTTAATTTTTAAAATTCCTGTTTAACAATACAGGGTGTGAGCTGCCTCTTGCCAAGAGTGAGTGGCAAAAGAAACTAACCCCAGAGCAATTCTACGTCACCAGAGAAAAGGGAACGGAACCGGTAAGCGAAGCTGGTTTACGGTTTTCTGATTGCGTGTGTTGGCAGTGAGGGGGAGTTGGAATAGGTCCCGTTATGAAACCCAGCTGCCCGTCAACACCCCACAGACCTGGTCTTCCCCCTCCATTGTTCCCTTCTCCAGGTATCGATATCCATCAAGCTGTAGAAACCTGACACTTTTCCCTGGACACATCGTCTCTGTTCTGACTTCTAAATAACCTTCCCATATTTCACTTCCATGCACTGCTCTGACCTCCCTGCAGGGCCAAGTCACTGTCACCTCCCCTGTGCGTGGCCATTCTTGCTCCGGCCAACCCATTCTCCACACTGCAGCCAGAGTTCTTTGGAAAACACAAATCTGACCACATCGCCCCCAAGCTCAAAACCTTTGGTGGCTGCCCAGTGCTTTCAAGGAAAAGGAAAAGTATGAAATGGCTAATAAGGTCCTAACGGCCCCTGGCTCCCACCCCGATCCTCAAATCCAGTCATCCTCCCTCTTGACTCCACACTCTGGCCGCACCACTCTTGAACTTTCACATGCCCTGGTCTCCCTTCTTTTAAGGCTTTTGCACCCAGCGTTCCTTCTTCTGTCCCATCATCCCTCCCCACACCCTCCAACCATTCATTCAGACCTACCTTGTAGCTGTCAGCCCAAACCTCACTTTTTCTGGGAAACCTTCTCCTAGCCCCCAGCAAAGCTCACTTCTAGCAGAACTCTTCCTTTATAGCATTTGCCATCGCTGCTATATCCCCTGGCACCTAACGTGGTAGCTGGCCATACTAGGCATTTGAAAAATCAACTTTTATGAATGTCGAATGATGGCCGGCTAAGAGGTGGAAACATTGTTTAAACTGCATTCGGCAGTCTCGGCTTCCATTCATTTTCTGAGAATAACCCTCAGTGGTTCCTCATTATAACATCATTTTTTACAGTGCTGCATTTCTGTGTGTGTGCGTGTGTGCATGTGTGTGTGTGTATACAAGTTTATGGGGTACATGAGAAAATTTGTTACCCATATATAACGTATAGTAATCAGGTCGGGGTATTCAGGGTGTCTGTCACCTGAATACAATGCATTTTTGTTAAGTGTCATGCTCCTACTCTGTTATCAAACACTGAGTGTATTATTTTTCTCTTGCTGTATGTTTGTGCTCTTTAAGCCACTTCTCTTCATCCTCCCCCGACCCCCTGCTCACCCTTTCCAGGCTCTGTTATCCAATTTTCCACTCTCTACCTCCATGTGCTCAAATTCTTTAGCTCTCAGATATAAATGAGAACATAGTGCCGTGTTTCTTAACAAGTGGTCTGTCTTAGACCCAAATATAGCTACTGGAATGTAGCTTTTTAGAATTGAACTTTATTATTAGATATTTTTCCTAGTGAAGCAGATCCTACAGAGTGGACCCCAGCCCTGTGGCTTCAGGTATGGTAGAGTATGAATGTTTTTTCCTTCGTCAGCACTTGCAAAACTCATGTCACTGCCACGTGCACTGGCATTGTAATCATGGCCCCACCCTCTGTTTCACCAATGCTAAAGTCATCAGAAGGGCCAGCACGTCCCAATAGAGTCTCCTGAAATGCTGGTATGTTTGAAAACTTCCTGTGGGTGGAATTTTATTAAAGCTCTCATTGGGAAAGAGACTACATTAGCCATTTGTGTAGATCACACAAGGGAACCACATGATACACTCTGAGCAGTTGTGTGTATTCCCAGAGTATTCTAAGCCAACCCTAATTCTCAGGTACAGAGCCAGGCAGGGCTTGGTACGTAGAGAGACCCGAGAGATGAGCTGCCAGATGTTTAGGAAAATAAATCTGTGGGCTTCTCAAACAGATGGTACAATATACTCTCTGCACTTGGCCATTTGACAAAATGAGCATCATTCATTATTTTAACTAATGTTATAAATCCCTTTCCATGGATCCACTTCCACATTTACCTTTTTAGAATATTGCTGAACTGTAAGCCTTCATTAGCTTTTTTCAGCTAAGAGAAATAAAACATCGGAGGCTTCTCTTTGGTGACTCTAAATTAAAATTCAGTCCCGTATGTTTTTTCTTGGGCAATCGTAATATGCTAGCAGTCTGCTAGCCAATGAATAAATTTACAGGCCGGCTGAGCAATAACTGCGAGTCAAGTATCAATAGAGGCGAGGTTTTGTGCAGGTCTTTCTCTGTCTACTCCCTAGAACCACTCTCCACGGGCTTCCCCTGCTCTGAGCTTTAGGAAGAGTGAACAGTTCCCTTTCCCCCCAGCTCTTGGTTCAGTTTAGCCAGTGGGAGACACCAGAGGCACTTGGGGGAATCTAGGTCATTATTTAACATTTATTAAGTATGCCATGTCCTAAACATTACATGAAGCATATTATAGGCAAAATCCCTGATCTCACTGAACTATGCTTTTTATGTATTTGTATTCTGTCTTTAATTGGAGATTTCAGTGTGTTAGACAGTAGACTAGATTCCTGTTGTATCAACTCTTTTGAAAGGAAGACCAAAATCTCACACAATCACAGAAGATAAGACTGTTTTCTTGCTTTTTCGCGGACTTTGAAGCTCTTGGATGAAAACTCCTGTATGAATACAAAGCACTATTAATGTCATAATTTGAATATCGGATGCAATAAAGCCCCGGCTATAAAGACATTTTCAGGCTGCTTCATTGCGTGCATGATTATTTTCTCTCCGGCCCTATTTGCACTTCGTCAAATCAGCACAGAAATTCCTTGATGTGGGGACTTACCCAGGATTTAAATCTGCTGTATCATCTCCTGCCAGCAGCATGAGAAATCTGAACGTGACATATCTAATTTACTTTCAGCCTTTCAGTGGGATCTACCTGAATAACAAGGAAGCAGGAATGTACCACTGCGTGTGCTGCGATAATCCACTCTTCAGGTAAGGTAAAGAATCGAAGGCCACAGGAGACCAAACCTTCAGGTTCTTGCTGCTCTGTTTCATTTAAGTTCTTGGATTAAAAAATTCCCACAATACCCATGTTTTTTAAAAAATAACTGCCCTTGTCATTTTGCACTGTTGCTGTAAGGAGAGCTATTCATATAAGATACTTGCTTGTCTTGACTTTTTTCCTAGCATTTAGAGTCATTAACAAGACTCCTTAGATTATATTCTTCCTTTCTGAATCCTCAAGAAATAGCGACCAAAGAAAACTCGGTGGACACCTTATGGTAAAGCTATCAGAGGTTTTTTTCTTGTTGTTGTTTTTTTTAGGGGGAAAGTATTTAAAGATATCTAAACCATGATTATATTTGCGGGGCCATGCGATTAAAACTCTCTCTCTCCCAGGGAAAATGGGTTTATAATTTAATTTAGGAAATGTAGAATTTTATGAGGATAGATTCTCCACAATGCTTGACAGTAGTGAATACCATACCCTCTTCTATATAGCTAAAAGTAAATTTAATTGTCCCTTGATTTCAAAGCCTCTTTTAAGTCAATCAGGATCTGAAATCTCTCCACAAAGGCTTTTTTGTTTAGACATGCAGGAAACAGTCTTTAAAAAAAGTAGATTCGATGGAGAAGAAAGGAAAATATCTTTGAAGTACGATTTTTCAGAACTTCAAAGATGTTTTCCTTTCTTTTGCATCAACTCTAAATTGGTTTAGAATAAAACATAAATCAAGCCAGCTCTGTGTATCACCCATTAGGCAGTGCTTCCTTCTGTCCTCTGGGCTTTGAGTGGTCTGGGCCTTCCTGCCCGGCTGGCTGCTAATGTGGGCTGCGTGAGGAAGCCGGACCTGCCTGCAAGGATGAGGAGCGATTAGCATTGATTTTCCTCCGTGCTCACAGATGGGCAGGCCTTTGCCCGGATGCATTCATGTTGGCATGGGGCAAACTAGAAGGAGGTTAATTTTTACACAGCAAAATGCGGGACTCGGGTTTCGGAGACAATAGTTATTTCTTGACCTTTTATGGTTCTGTTAAAGAGGAGAGGTAGGACTTTGCGATGGCCCACGGGCTTTCAGCCAGAGAACTGTGCTGCCTGCATGTCAAAGGCTCCCTTGTTATTGCAGGCACCAGGCAGTGCTCTGTCTCCTCTTTGCACTGTGAATACAGAAGGTAAATCATCCTTGCAAGAGCATTCTCCTAAATCATGGTCTTCACTCTTCCACTTCCTTGATGTTCCGGTTTCTGCATCTGTAAAGGGGGCCCTTCTTCCCTTCCTTTCACCTCGCAGGCTTAGTTGTGGTGTCAGAATACTGGAGCCAGGAGGCTGCTGAGTCCAGAGTAGAAAGCTCTGTCCTGTAGAACTTCCTGTGGTGATGGAGATGTCTGTATCTGGCTAGCCGCCCATCGCACGTGCTTGTTGAGCACTCAGGATGTGGCTAGCGTGGCTGAGAAGCTGACTTTATGAATTTAACTTCAATTTAAACAAAAGGCCACATGTGGCCAGAGCACAATGCTAGTTCATTTGCACAATGCTAGTTCAAATTAGGGAAGTTACATGACCAACTCCAGGTCCCGGAGGTTGTGAAACAGCCAAGACTAATAGGAAAACCAGCAATTCTCCAAAAGCCCATTGACCAAGTGGCCAGTTTACAGGACTGCCAACTCACCCACCTTATTTTTTTGTCACCGTTCAGTTTGAGTTGAAAAGTTTCCATTTTGCATTCTTAAAGACTTCTAAGTTTGCTTCTGTTCCTTTTTCCTGTTGCTGCTACTGCAGCCAAAGGAAATAACATATTCTGAAGATTATTTATGTTCCAGAATATACTCTTCTTAAAGATGTACTCATCTATGGGAGAGGCAGTAGAGTGGGCTCCATTGCTGTGTGACCTTGAGCAACTTTCTTAACCTCTCTGTGTCCGATTTTCTCACCTATAAAATGAAGATAATAGTACCTAATTTATAAGGTTGTTGGGAGGATGATCTGAGTCATGAATTAATACATGGGAAAGCATAGAGCAATGCCTGACATACCTGACTCAGGCCAGCACTTGATCCAAGTTAGTAATGATGAATTCTTAAGCAATAGACCCCTCTTAGGGCTGTAGACGTGAATGTGCCTTTGATCCTGAGGAATTCTGGAGTTATATTTTAATTAATGAGAATATACAAATGCAGACTATATTGCTGAACCTTCTTCCCATTCAAGAGAAGTTTTAGAAATACATTCTTGTTTGGCCTCTGGTTTTCCTTCTCTTTCTGTCTCTGGTCTCCAGTCTGTACAGCAGGAAGAAGAGGTACAAAAATAATAATTCCTTAAATGCTTGTGGAGAGTGAAAATGAAGGGAAAAGCTGGTCAACCAAAACCAGTAGTTCGTTCAACAAGTAAGCGCAGGGCTCGCTCCTCTGAGCTCCCTGCTCCAGCCTGGCTGCTTCCTGCCCAGGATTTCCCCTCATGCCCAGCTGTCCTCCTGGGATCTGCTCAGCCCCACTAATGCAGATTTCTCCAGAAACCTTCTCTGATAGCATATACTGTGGGTTTTTTTCAATCTGCTTCAAATTCCTATTAATTTATCAGTAGCACACAATTTAGGACCTAATTATTCTCCTGTTGGCTCCAGTATTTTATTTAGTTAAGGAGATAAACCTGATCAGGTCCTTGAGTCCCTTGGCATCGTATACTTCTTGGACAAAGCTCAGGGAAGTTGTTAGGGGTTGAATTGTGTCTCCCAAAAAGACCTGTTGAAGTTTTAATCCCTGGAAACTGGGAATTTGACCTATTTGGAAATAGGGTGGCTGCAGGTATAATTAGTTTAGATAAGACCATACTGATGTAGGGTCGGCCCTAATTCCAATATCACTGCTGTCCTTATAAGAAGAGGAGAAGAAGCCCAGACAGAGAGAAGACAGCCATGTGAAAGTGAAGGCAGAGGCTGGTAATCCACAGCTACAAACCAAAGATTGCCGGCAACATTAGAAGGTAGCAAGAGGCAAGGAGGGATTCCCTAGATGCTTCAGAGCCCTGCAGACACCTTGACTTTGGACTTCTAGCCTCCAGATAGTGAGAGAGTACCACCCACTTTGTGGTACTTTGTTATAGCCATCTCAGAAACTAATACTTACATGCTCCATAAGTACTTCTTGATTGGTTGATTGAAAATATCTGTCGTGCTTCTTAGACGCTGTAGCAATGTTGGGACTATCAGAAGCTGGGGTTATGGGCTGGGTACGGTGGCTCACACCTGTAATCCCAGCACTTTCAGAGGCCAAGGCAGGCCTTGAGGTCGGGAGTTCAAGACCAGCCTGGCCAGCACAGTGAAATCCTGTTTCACTAAAAATACAAAAATTAGCTGGGCATGGTAGTGCATGCCTGTAATCCCAGCTAGTAGGGAGGCTGAGGCAGGAGAATCACTTGAACCTGGGAGGTGGATGTTTCAGTGAGCTGAGAGCAAGCCACTGCACTCCAGCCTGGGTGACAGAGTGAGAATCCACCTAAAAACAAACAAAAAGAAGCTGTGGTTATGAAATCACTGTGGAAATGTGTGAGGGAAGTGGCTGCAACTTCTTGAGCATTTATATGCCGGACACTGAGCTCCAGTACTTTGCAAACAATCCTTACCCTCCAATAAGGAGCTATTAAAACCCCCATTTAACAGATATGAATACTGAGGCTTAAAGAATTAAATCACTTATATAGTAAGTGATAGTGCAGGGATTGGGGTTCCACTGGAGCCTCTACAGTGCACTCTTCTGGAGAGTGGGAAGCTCCCCAGCAATGAAGGAGCCCCCTGGGCATGTGGCAGGTGCTGTGCCTAGGCTCTTCATGTGCATCATTTCATCAGACCTCTCGGCAGCTCAGTGTAGTGTTATCATTATTCTCATTTCACATGAGGAAACCAAGACCTAGAAAGATGAAATAACTTGTCCAGGGTTCAGCAGCTTATTGGTAGCCAGCCAAAATACCAACCCACAGTTTTGGACTTCAGAGCCCACATTCTTCACTAGCTGAGCTTCCGTAAGCCACGTGGGCAGCACCATTGACATAGGTGCCATCGCCTTCTAGTGCCTGTTTTCTGAATTACAGGCATTGTTTCCCAGCAGATGTAAGCAGCCTCTAAGGGTGACACTGGCCAGTGTAACTCGTGAGTTTCCTTTACAGAGCCTTGTTCCCACCCTCATCTGCCAGACTTACTGTCATTCCCCTCATCATCCTATAGCTGTTGGAATGAGTTTGGTGCACAGTTTTGGAGAGCTTCTGCCTCTCCAAAGCTGGGACTCCAGACTCTCATTTCCTTAGCTTGGAATGAAGTGACATTGCCCCCCACTGCTGCTTCCTCTCCTCCTTCTCTCCTTCCTTCTCCCTTGTTTTCTTCCCCGTAAGCCTTTTTGGAAAGTGTTTATTAAAATCTACTGTGGGATCACATATTTCATGACCATAAGTCTTCATAAAATAAGAGGAAATAGAGCCTGATACTAGTTCACTTTTTACATAACATCCTGATGTTGTACGTGCCATGAGTAACTAAATAATATTGTTAAAAACCTTTTGTGAGCCCCATTTTCTGAAAGGAATAGAAATTCTTCTAAGAGGTTAGGGTTGTCAGTTATCGCCAAGTGCCTGTGCTGTTGGTTGGGAACTGCAGAACTTCCAGAAATCAAAGAAAACCAAAGCAAATAAAATGAAACAAAAGGCCCTTAGAGTATATGATTCAGAATGGTTTTAGTTCTTCAAGGGCAAACCTTACAATCCGCTAACCACTTAAATATGTATATTGGAATTTCTGATTGGCTTTAATATTTTTGGTTCCCAGTCTTGATTTATATATGTAGGGCCTCTCATATTACTTGGTAAAATCTCCAGATTCTGCTAATTGCATCAATAAAGGTTTATTGTTTCCCGTAAATGCTTTAATGAGTTTTTATTAGTCTTAGATTCATTCATTTAAATGCTTTTATTATATTCATAATTCTCCATCAAAATTCCTTTAATGCCTACTAGTTTATATGTAATGTTGAGGATGGAAAGGCTGGGATGAAACACTACTTAATGATGTTTTACCCTGAGCAGAGTGGCCAGGTGAATGTTTTTGAACCCCTGGAAGAGGGTTGTAAACCCGACCTGAATATGAAGACACTTCTAGTTGGACCCACTTCTGCTCCAATTTCATAGATTTCTGTTATTAATAATAAAAATATATTAAAAATAATAGCTACTGACTTATATGCCATGCATGTTTCATGTGCTCGTGTGTCATGCTTCCTATGGTAAGCATACTATACACAGAAAGTGAGGCGATAATGCCATTGCTATTGTTAGCTTAAAAAATAATACAACCCATAAATTTAGAAAAGGAGACTTTATTTCTTCTAAGGGCTTACAGCCATCAAGGTGGCCATCCCACAGGCTGGGAAGCGAGCTCTCAGCCAAGAGCAGCCACAGGCACTTGGAAGGGGGAACAGCTGGGGAAGGAGCTTTATGCTGATGGCGTTGGCTAAACACATGTATTTAACAGATCACAGAAGGGGCTAGGAAAATTCGTGATGATGGTCCTGACATATGCATACTGAACAAACATGCATGTAACATATGACCTATGTTTATTTGGGGGTAGAAACTTAACATTTAAATGTATCATAATTAGACCCTATACATCAAAAGATCTTTCAGGATATGAAGGCTCGAGAGTGCCCACCCTCCGTAAAGCATCCAGAACCAGTTCACGGTCTTTTAATCAGGAGAAAGTTACTAAAATCAGCCCCTTGTGCAATCAAAGCTGTAGTTACGGCTGGTGGCACAGAGGCTCTCAGGTAGTCTGTGTCTGGTGGTGAGCGAGCTGCAATTGCCTCAGCACTGCTTACCTCAAGACCAGGGCTTGTTTAGCTGCTAGAGAAAAAGAAAACCCTTGAGGCAGTTAGAACATAGTTGATTCTTTAAGTGTAGGGGTACGTGACTTCACCCTGGCCTGGCGTGGCCTTAGGTCCTGTTTATAATTTGGTATATTATTGCCACACACAGTCTGTTCTGCCAGTCTTATGATCTCTATTTAAACATTAATGCTGGTCATTTCTTGTGTCTAAACCATGAAAGGGCTGGGTATAATGAAGTGTGTCTGACCTTCTGTCCCATCATGACTGGAAACTTGGTTTAAAGGCTTTTCCAGAGTCCCCTTGGCCAAGAAGGGGTCTATTCAGTCAGTGGGTAGCTTAGAACTTTATTTTTAGTTTATACTTTTCTATGGATTAGGATACTGAGGCTTCATAAGATTCAATGACTTGCCCAGGTCATACACATGTAACAGACAGATCCCAGATTCACACCCAAATCTTTCAGAAGTCAAAGCCCTTCCTCCTAATGGCTATATTTGTGGTTCCCAAAGCCTGGTCTGAGGACCCCAGGGATTCCTGGGAGGGAAATCAAAACAACAGAGCAGCAGACTGAACGCAGAGGCACATATGAAGATTCAGTTGTCTTTTTCTAAGTCACACATTAAAGGGCCTTGCAAAATGTAAAACAGTGCAACTCTTCTCATGAAACATTTGTTTCATTTTGAAAAGTACAATTATTTGTCATAAATATATGTTATGTTAACATGTAATAAATTTATTTCAGGTTGAGCATATCTACTCTGAAAATTCAAGATCTGAATTCACCCAAATCTGAAACTTTTTTATTTTTTGAGACAGTCTCACTCTGTTGCCTGATCTTTGCTCACTGCAACTGCCGCTTCCTCGGCTCAAGTTATTCTCCTGCCTCAGCCTCCCAAGTAGCTAGGACTACAGGCGTGCACCATGCCCAGCTCTTTTTTCTATTTTTAGTAGAGAGGGAGTTTCACCATGTTGGTGAGGCTAGTCTCTGACTCCTGAGCTCAAGTGATCCACCCACCTCCACCTTCCAAAGAGCTGGGATCATAGGTGTGAGCCACCACACCTAGCCAAATCTGAAACCAACAGATTTGTTTTGAGAACCAACATCATACGCAAAGGAAATGCTCATTGGAGTATTTCAGCTTACGGATGCTGAACCATCAAGTAAAATGCAGAAGTCAAAAAGATCTGAAATCTGTAACAGCTCTGGTCCTAAGCATTTCAGATAAGGGGTTCTCAACCTATATTAAAAAAAAAAATTAATGCACACATATTTTTAAATTCTCAGTTATAATTTATAATTTGTTAAATGTTGACATATATAACTCATAGACAAAAGCTCTCAGTGACCTCTATTAATTTTGGGGACATAGAGGGGCGCTGAGACCAAAATGTTTGAGAATTGCTGCATGACACAGTTGTTTCTGTGGGAGTTTGTGCTGTCAGCCATGCTTTCTTCTGTGTTCATAGTCTAGGGATTTGATTCTTTGCCACTTTTTCTTATTTTTTTTTTCTGGGTTTAATATTCAATTATTCTCTTTCTTCCTTAGATAGAGAGAGCCATTTCCTTGCCATAGCAATGTTTTAAAGACTATTTTCCCAGTGCCATTAAGGGAGCTTATCCATTAGAGCACTTGGACGGTGGGTCTTTGGTGAGTGGATTTCCCTGTTGTCCTTCTCCTTCACCTTGTGCCAGCATCGTGAGTCCCTGGGAGACTTCTGCAGGGTTAGATTTCACTGCAGTGATTGATGCCAGGGACCAGGCGTATTAGTTATTCATCATCATCATCATCACAGCAAGCATTCAGGGCACTTACCATGTGCTAAGCTTTATATCACACTTCACAGAGTTTCCCCTCAAATCTTCAAAACAGCCCCATGGGGCAGATACTATTCCCATTTTCTAGGTGAGCAAACTGAGGCTTCAAGAGCTGTGATTTCACACAGTGGCCAGAGGCAGCTTTTGAATCCCTGTAGAGGCTTCTGTGTTTAGATAAGCTGAAATACCTGTTGCTAAGGATGACTTTCTCATGAGACCTTCTGTACACTTCCGTGATGCACCCCGATGATGACTTCCTCGGACCGTTAGTATCTAGTTTTGATTTCTCCCTTTTTCACATTTTCAACACATGGGTTTGATCTGTGTTACCTAAGATGCAGCACAGTTCACAAAGCACCATGTGTTTTTAGATCCTTGTTGGACATCGAGAGAGAAGCCTTTAGCATCGAAGGATCAAGAAGTCCTTTCACTTCTAGAGGCAATGGCTTCAATAGTGAAGGTGCAGTGAGAACGATTCCCATGCGACTGACTGTCACAGAACTGGGATCTGGCAGAGGAGAGTGGGAACAGAGCCTGCTCACTGGAACGACATGTTGGGGCATGAAACCCTCTTGGCATGTTAATGACAGTGTCATTAGCAGCT